GTTCAGTGTTTCCATACTCATTTGCATAAACAAAATTTTTCCACGATGATGGAAAATAATGGCTATTCTATTAGAGCTACCGAAATTGTTCCTAAATTTTCAAAAATTCGCAAACTATAGCTAATATTAAAAAAAGGTTAGAATATTTGGAACTAGCGATCTAAATCTACGCCAGCAATATTAATGCTGTTCTTTACATCTTTTGACTATAGGCCAGTGCAATTATTAAGAGAACTATTAAAATTTTCTTGAAAATAGATAAGTTTGAGATTAACGATAAGCTAAAGTGCTGCGAGAAATGATAATTGACTTTACCTTTTGCGTTAACGGATTCATTATCTAATAACATGCACCTACCCTTTTTACTAAACGCAGAATTTTTAACAAGAATTGGTCTTATTCGACTAGTCCGCTGTGGGCCACTTGGCGGTCGATGCGCGGGCATTCACAATTAAAATAAAATACTAATATTTTGCAGGCTTGTTGTTGACTTCATGATACAATATATTTTCACTATTACCAAGGGATTTGAGAAGAATTAGATTTTCGACCCGCCCTAATGTACATGTTTCCAAAAAATGCATCACTTTGCAAGTATTGCCTGTAAGCGAAGCATAGCCCCAACTAACACTCCATGACGTACATACATATCAAACCAGTAATAGGAAAATGTAAGTAACAATAGGAATCAAACGCAAACTGATGCAGTGCGATATTCACTTCAATCAACAACACAATGGCCACTGGGCAAACATTGTAACCACATTCTCTATGCGGAGTAACTGCTTCAACTGAAAATGTTTAGAGGGAATGTATGTATGTATGGACGTTGGATAACCGAGAGGTACTAACTAGTAAATCGATGCAATTTTATTGACTGCGTACGTGCGTTCTCATCTAAAGTACAGCTAGTTGGCTGACTGGCTGGTTGGCTGTCTGCTTTTCTGAAATGAAACTAAGTAAATCCCTAAAGTACCTACTATGTACTGCCAATCGGATTAAACCATAATCTTTCGAAAATATGTCCATGCAGACATGTTTGTATGCATGAATGTGGTACGTCCATATGTACGTATTTATGTAGGTACTACGCATGCATGTGATAAATGGTTGGAGGTGTCACCATAGGGATGGCCGATGCGTAACACTGTAAATAAAGCAAACAAAAGAAACCCGTTAACTTCACTTATGCATTCAATATTCGGGGAGAGGCGAGCTGCGAACAATGTAAAAGGTTTTAAGTGCAGAAATGCACTTTTAACTTTTCATTTGTTTTTTTTTTTTCTTTTTTGGTTTGGTGGTGTATATATATGTATACATGTCATACTGCAGGGATGTAGTTCATAGTAACCTAACTGACAGTTCAAAAAAAATTGAGGTGCACGTTAAAATACATTACTAGAATCGAAGCTGTAAAAGCCCAAGGCGCCCCCTTTTAGTATTATTTTACTAAGGGCCTTTTTCTCAAGAAACTTTTAATTTCAAAGCTCTCCCTCTGTTTTCTTTTTTCATTTGGTTTTAATTTTGGTTTCTTGAACTTTTCTATCTCATTGCCTCTGTCTTTTTATTTTTTTATTTATTTTAGTTGTTCATTTTCATTCTTAATCTTTTATTTTGCTTCTTTTTTCTCTATATTTTGCTTTTGTTCTCGTTTTTTTAGTTTTTATTCTTTTTATTTCTTTTATTCATCCTATTAATTTTCGTTTTCTATTTGTTCTTGCTTCTCGTTTAAATTTCTGTCTGCCTTTTTTATTTCTCCTCATCAGTTAATTTCGGGTTTTATTTTGTTTTGTTTTTTTTTGATATTTTCTACTAATCTGTTTTGATTTTTCCACTTATTTTTACTTTTTCGGACACAGGATTTTTGATAATTTAAAAGAGAATATAATTTAGAAATAGTGGCGCTAGGTGAACTTTCCCTCCAAAATTTCGCCATGTGACGGATTTTTGGTAAAAAGTATACAATTGTTTTTATCTTCTATTTTTTTTTGGTTCGCAAGGATGAATAAATATTGAAAATTTCCTTTAGTTAATCGAGTTATAAGTTATATAATTTTTTTAGTTATTCGTAAATTTTATAAGTGAAATTTAAAACTCTTTTAGACAAATATGTACACTTAATCATAGAAAAATAACTCCATCATATGTGACCTGGTCTACGAAAAGGGAGCTTACGTGCGAAAACTAGTTTTCTGTGAAAAAGCTGTTAAAAGTGAAAAGCATCTCATCTTCCATCCGAATCAACCACAAAGTGAAAATTGATTTTTTGACACCTAAGCCCCCTTTCCGTAGACCAGGTCACATATATTGAATTTCTTTTGGACCAACGATACCCTACGGTTTTGAAATTTCCACTATGTATAAATTCACCGCCGAACCATATCATTGCTGCCGCCAGAGAATTTTTTTTTTTCAAAATTTTTTTTCTGATATTGCAATTGCAAACTAAATATGCGACAAAACCCGAAAAATCCCTAAAAACCTCAGAAAATTTTGCCTTCCTTCAAAATGCTTATAGCTATAGACATTTGAATCTAGGATATCAGCCAAAGGCATTTTACACGGCACTTTTGTAAGTGCGTGTGTAGCATACGTATTTCAACTCATTGCCAACTGTGCACGTAGTGAGTGTCTATCTTCTATTATTGGGTTCGTGTTTATTTAGTGAAGCGTTTAATTTGTTTTTCATGCTTCACCGCAAAATAGTACATCAGTTACACCATGTCCAATCGAGAATTCTCGCGTTGGTTTTATTTTTTTACGCAAACATACATCTTACTTACCTAGATACATTCTAACGAAGTATGTAGCGTCTATGAGTAGCCAACGTAGTTGCTTCCCTTCTCTCAAATTGGCAACCCAAACGCTTACAGATGACGAGCACGCAATACACTTGTTGTTGATGTTGTTGTTCTCTTACGTCTTCATTGTTACGAGTATGTATATCAAATTCTAGCACAACGGTACAAAGTAAAATACAACTTGCTGCCAACTCAAGTGTGGGTGACTATTTGTAGCGTATGCATGTTTGTAGTTCCGTATTTGTAATTACAATTGCCAATCTATTGTAACACCACGTGCGAATATAGGCCTACACTATGTGAGATTTTACTTACACATGAGAAACAAATACGTATATATACTTATACATGTACATATATGTATGAGTACTATATAATCGTACCTATACACTCGTGTGTACATACATATGTATTTAAGCCTTATTGTATGTTGCGAATGGCAGAATAAACTCGGCTACTTTATCACTTGAACACATCGATTGCAGCAAATGGAAATTACAATGGAAATGACAACAACAAACTTACCTATATCAGACAAATGTCTACATATACATATGTGTAAATACACAAATATTTTTTTGCTGATAAAGTATTACATAAGTATTCGCCTCGGCATTAACGACCATATCGAATATTGCTTGCAATTATTCTTGCTCTAACGTTAAACACATATAACGAACTAATATCTGTTTGCCAATTGGCTGCCAAAAATAAAGTGTGCCACACATCATAACCATATTAATTGCCTCTGATTCTACAAATTAGAATCTTTAGTATAAGTACGTATTCATGTTGACGGGTGGTATGAGTAACATTATTTCGCTGGCGAACATTTGAGTACTTAATTGAGGATTAGGGTGAGTAACCTGATAAAATATCATTTTATTCACACTTGAAGGCAATCGTAAATACATCTAAAAAATATCATACACACACTTTCATGGCAGGCCAAAAACAAAAAAAAACTCTTATCTACTGCGACGGGAAAAAAATCTGCCAAAAAATTATTTCGTTGTAAGTCGAACATTTGTCATTATATACCTGCTAGGTATCCATTGGTATCCAATTATAAGTGTAATTAATATACATATTTTAGAAATGTTTCAGCTCTCTTATAAAATGCTTTAAAACCATTTTGTTATATAAATTAATGACTACAATTTTTATTTTTAAAATAGTTAGCGAACTTTTTCAAAAATATGTTAATTTTAGTCGTTTGAAAGCCGTGTCAAAATATTTCATTTAACTTGTTAACTAAATTGAGTCAGAGTTTTTAAACAGGTGGCAACCATCTTAAAATATATTTTTTCACATAAACCTATCTTAAACCGAATTCATTTAACACCCGTATCAAAGTATTTCATTTACTTTGTTGATTAAATTGATTTTAAATTTCTAACGAAGTGGCAACCTTAGCCAAAAAAATATTTCGGAAATAGACATCTCCTAAAACCTCTCTCGTTTGATACTCTTATTAAAGTATTTAATTATTATTTTATTATTTTTTAAACAGAGCAACCCTATTGAAAAATATATTTTGAAAATAAGACTTACTTAACCCTCTTTCGTTTCATACCCATAATAGAGTATTTCACTTAAATAGTTAAATAAATTGATCGCGACTTTTCAAACGCGTGGCAACCCTCTTCAAAAATGCTTTCGAAATTATGCTTTCGTAGATCTCTCGTCTATTGTAACCTGATATAAAATATTTCATTTAACTTTTTGCTTAAAATGATTTTGAACTCCAAAACAGGTGGCAGCCCACGCGAAAATCTTTTTCGAAATAAAAATGTTTAAAGCTTTCTCATTTGATAATTAGATAAAAATATTTTATTTAACTAGATTTAAACAGTTTTAACAGGTGGCAACCCTATGAAAAGTTATTTAGAAATAAACCGTTTTAGAATCCATTTCGTTTGACACTCCTAATTTTGTAATATTTTATTTAACACAATAATTAATTGATTTTAACTTTTTAAAAAGATGGCAACTCTCTCCAAAAAATATCCATTATGTTATCTGTGTGCCAAATCTCATTAAAATACGTCCAGCTTACTCACTCATTCAGTAACAAAATTTCCTATTTATGTTTTTGGCAGGTTTGTAATCTAAATATTTGTAAATACAGTAAAATGCGCTTAACTCCAAACGTTTCTTCAAGGGTTTATATAAACAAGTGCAGCAAATGTAACGCAGCAGTGGAAATTAGTAACACCTAAATATGTAGCACGAAACAGTTCAATACATCGTGTTACTCGTATAATGGAAGTAACGGAAGCCATAAAGATACATAGCTGCAGCAGCAGTCTCGATCCTCACGTCTCACTTGCTACCATTCAAACCAAATATTGCTTACCACAAAGCAAAGTACAAACAAATGCGAATAGCATCGAATTACTAGCTGCCAAAATATCTAGTATACATGCGGTGACCAGATTTCGGTGGACAAAAATTGGAACATTTCGGAAGTATCAAATCTGTACATACAATTTTGTTTATAGGGTAAAAATACAAATATCTTTTTATGCAGTTTTATTCAAGACAAAACAAAGTAAAAAAAACCTTGAAAAATTATCGCAAAAATGTATATGCACAATATGTACGGAGGCGAGAATGTATGTAGGTAGGGAAAAGACATTTAGCAAGTTTTGGCTACTTTTCTTTGTTTAGAAAATTGTTAATGTTTAGAAAAAAAACATGTAAAGCAAAGTTTAAAATTTCGTAGAACATTTACAAAAATTCGTCGAATTTTAACAAATATTGCTCAAAATTTTAATATTAGGTTTGTATAGTAACCAATAGTCAGTACTAATTTGTACTGGAACCTGCAAATTTTTACTGGAAAAGTGTATGATAACCCAAAAAATTTGCAAGAGAGCACTCAATCGAGAGCGTAACAACACGGGAGAGCTGCAAATTCTTGCTAGTGAAATTTCTACTAGTAGAAATTAGCTAGCAGAAGAAGAAGAAGAATAAGTGTCAAAAGCCGCCATTTGTTGAATTGGTTTAGCACAAACAAAAGTTAAATGAGTAGAAATCAAAATATTAATGATGTACTGGACTGTATAAGTGCGTGTGTGTAAAGCAAAGCGTTTAAAAATTATTTATAAATAGTAAAATGTTTACAGCAGTATACCAAAACAGTGCCTCAGCTGTTCACTTGCAAGTTTTTGCTATTTTTGTGTTCATTAACTTTTTCTGCTAGTTTCTGTTCTTCTCAATTTTACGCTCTATTTTGCTTTTACGCTCTCGCTGCAATGTTTTACTGGAGAAGTTACTATACAAACCTATTGTTAATCAGATTTTTAGAACTTTGAGCATGCAGTTGTGTGGTCCATTAAATTTTAGTATATATATAGTATTTTAGTTCGAAGTAGCTTGGACTCACCGCTAATTTTTTGCAATTTTTTGTTCGCGCATTTTCTTCCATACGAAGTATGTTCGACAGATTTTTTGCATGGTGAAACTGAACATCAAATTCACATTATAAAATCAAAAATAAATTCAAGTTAGAATCATTTTCTTAAATAAAAAACAATAATAATTATAATAAAAACTTTACAAAAACTTTTGATAAGAATGATGAAGGCAATATAGCGAGAGTACCAGTTTGACAGAATAAAACATAACCAAGGATCATTGAAAATAAGGATGCTTGCTATATTTATGACTCCCCTATATGTATTCTAAGCTCTATTTTATGTGATAACGAAAGTGCTGCCACATTTGTACCAAAAATTGTTTTTGTGCCAGAGTACAGGAGGACTCTTGTCAAATTAATAAATAAAACACTGAAAATCGGGACTCAAGCGGTACAAATATGAAAAATCTGGACACTTATACATTTCGACTTTTAAAAAATATTCAGCGGGACAATTTCCTAAAAATTGGTGTTCGGTACGAATGGTCACCGTAAGTATACAGCTGTCGATATTCCGTACCGATGTACATATATGTATGTATATACATATGTGTATATTGTGTTTTGTGACTCTTTCCCTAGCTATTTAACTGTTGGCACGACTGGGCAGTGCAACTGATTTTGTAAGCAGTACACTTGTGGCATACATTAGTGGCGGCACTGCAAATCCCTGACCCCATTCATGCCGTTGGCGGTTCTACATTCACTCACACGACTCCATTTTTCAACATAATATATGCACTGCTTCAGTAGCATGTATGTATGTATCTTGCATATTTTTCACCACAATAGGCACACAATAAGCCCAATGCAGTTTATGTGGTGCTGCAACCACACCACTTCATTGCTCTCCACTCCACATTACTGCACTTGAACATATTTTTGCTGCACGCTCATGCTGTTCGAGAGTGCAAATTTATTCCGTTCCATTTCATCGCCTTTCGTAAACTCCGCCGTCTTTCGCCTGTCTCTATTTTTAGTATATCTACCGTTCGTTCGTTGCACGGCAGCGCTTCTTCTGCCGCTGACAGCAGTTGGACGGACGGCTGGCGCTGCTGTGACTGTGTGTGTGTGTGCACGACTGTGGCGGGCTCCACCATTGCAATTGCCACATGACCGACATTTGTAAGCTTCGTTGCGCAACCAACTTCAGGCGCATCTTGGCTATGGCGCAACGATGGGTGCAGCATAGCACTGTGAAATCGGCGGCGGTAGCCAATGCTGGCCAAAAGTATACCGAAAGTGTGCAAAAATAAACAACAAACGGTGGAAATTGTCCTTAAATCTCTTGACCGAGTTTTGATTTTTTTTTTGTTTTAAATAGGTGCACAGTAATACACTTTCTTTTAATTATGGGTTAAAAAGTTAGAAGGCAAATTTGATTTGTTCATAAGTTGCTTCACTAATAAGCATTATTTATTTCGCCCAGAAAAATTTTGATATCAATTCTAATTCGAACCAACCCTGCTCATCAGTTTTTCCATTTCAAAACAATAATTGACGAAATTGACTTTGCGCAGCCTAGTTCCAATTCGGCATTTGGACGTAGTTGTGCATATTGGACATTTCCATCAATTACAGTTGGGAAATAATAAAAGTGATGCTTTGCATTGATGCATTCACGAACAAAAAAACAAAAGAAAGTGCGCCCGGGGGCACACTGGAGAAGTAAAGCTTACGTTACATACATATCTATTTTGTCTCATAGACAATATACATCCATACATATGTACATAAATACATACATCTGCTTTTGCTTAAGGTTATATTTTTTGTCCTTTTTCTATCTAGATCCCTACCTCTACCCCTGTTCGTTCTAATTACATTTATTCTATCTTTATACTCTATCGATAACAAATTCGATAGTAACATCCAATAAAATATCGATAACAAAACCGATAATAATATTGGTAGCAAAATCTGTTAGAAAGTCGATAAAAATATCCATAACAAATCCGATAAAAATATCGATAAAAATACCCATAAAAAATCGATACAAATTTCGATAACAAAATCGTTAAAAATATCCATAAAGAAATCTATAGATGTCGATAACAAAATCGATAAATATCGATAACAAAATCGATAGCCAAATCGAAAAACAATATCGCTAATAAAATAGTTAAAAATATCGATTACAAAATCGATAACAAGTCGATAAGACTATCGATAACAAATCGATAAAACTATCGATAACAAAATCGATAAAAATAGCGACTGTTATATCGATTAGTTCCGAAAATATCGATAGCAAAATTGATAACAATATCGATAAAAATTTCGATAAAAATATCGATTATTTTATCGATACGTCCCGAGAATGTTCGTAGTCACCTTTACTTTTATTATTGTATTGGTATTTTTCTAAGTGTTATTCTTCAATCTTTTATTACAAATTTTTGTTGAATTAATACCATATGCATACACGCAGGAAGCACTTGTTTCAGCCCCAACCATTTCCGTTGCACCATTTCCGGTGCACCATTTCCGTTTCATCATTTCCGTTGCACCATTGCCGTGTGCAATTTACGTTGAATTGCCAATTTACTCCCAACCAACCAAGAAGTTTCATTTCAACAAGATTTTCACTCAACTTCTCCTTCCAATAATAATAGGTTCACTTAAAAATTTCTCTTAAGGCTTATCGCCTGAGAAGCATTCATTACACCGGCGTGCAAAAAAAGTTCGAGCGCGAAGGCTGCCTCATGGTAGATTCTCTTTCTTGTGTGTATCTAAAGATCTCTAGGTGATCCTACCTCGGAATTGCTTCTTTACAATTCATATGTAATAATTGCTTTTGCATTATTTTGGTTTTAAGAATTATTCAAAAGATTGAAATGAAAATGCGCGCAATTACCATCTAAAAAATTTACTAAATTCTCGTGTGAAAACTTTTGTCGCGACAATTTTGTCAGAGTGCAAATGTCGGCACCATTGTCAGACAATTTTCAACAATATTCCAATATTGTCTTTCCAGTAATTATTACAGTTGCCTACAAGCGTCTATGGAACAGAAAAAAAGTCGCCGACAATTCGAGCTCTAAAATTTTCGGCAAAATCTAAAATTTTCGCACCCGTCACTTTTATAAATGGGCCTCTGAATAAGTTTCGATTATGTGTCAAGCTTATTAGATTTTAAGTAATAATTTTGCTAAATTTTTGTGATTAAAAAAACTAAATTTTTTCAATGCGGTGGAACTTTTTTTTAATTTTAAAATTTTCCTATATGTATTTATTTCATGCGTAGAATAAAATAAAGGCCTCATATAAAATTTGGATGTTGATAATTTTTAAGGACCACCCTAATACAAATGTACTAGTAAGATCGGTAATATTTTTCCGAATAATCAACAGTAGTCGGTCTCGGCGAATTGCCAGGCTAAATGTGTATCACTAAAAATCTCTAAATAATGGCAATACGGTGGGCCTATGATATGCAAAACTAATTCGTTATTATGGGATGCGGGTCATGTTTCTATAGAGACATTTCTGCTTTTGAGAAAAATTTGCAGTGTATTTCATTAACTTATCCCAACGTAGCGTTGTTCTTAGGTACCCACGAAATATAGCAATGTTTTTATTTTTTTTAAACCTACTAATTTTGTTTCCCCATTTGTATATTTTCAGGTAAATAAAAATACGTATTAACACCAGCAAAATAAACAATCATTCATTTAGGTGAGTTAGAGTTTATTATTTTCTTTCAATTCAATTTAGACAGTAATATGTTTCTTGCAAAAGTTACCCATTTTTTTCTAAGGAATTAAGGGGCAGAAATGTCTAAAGAAGAACACCTTTCATTGGGAGCTTTTCGTATCGAACAGCCAGACAACTTATTGAAGTTTAATAATTCTTTTGGTCCGCTACAAAAATGATAACAAGCCCTTAGAGCCTATATTTATCATTTAAAAAATAAATAAATTGTTTTTAAAATTAACAACAAACTTACATACTTACATAAATACTACGGAAAAAAGAAATAATGACTGCAATTTTAGAATAAATCGGTTATTCACTTCCATCACTAGTTTTACTAATCCAAATTGAACCCACTTCCACTGGTCCATATGGATTATACTTCCATTTATAATGACTATGATCTTCGGTGCAATTACCAGAGATTTCTACACTCCTTATTGGCGAATAACGATCTGGAGCTTTCTGTCCGAAACGATGTCGATTTTCGGCATTATTGACCTCGCTCATCAATTAACTCTTGTATTTTCACATATCCTTTCCGATCGATTAAACAAGCGAGTTCTGTTAAGTGCAATATTTAAAAATTAAGGGGACATAACTCAAAATAAATTCTAGGTGGCAACTTTATGCACATTTTATGACTATTTTCATAATCGGACATCGTACAAAAAACGGGACAAATAGCATACAGAAATAGTATTCCATGTGTATAATACTTATAAATATAATGAGATGGGAACAGGCCGCTCTTTACAAAAAGTTCACTTGACTCAAATATTCATATACATACGTATTTACATCTTAAATAATCGAACATGTTGCCTTTACACACCTTTAAGGCTAAACTGTGCTTCTAAGGCCAGTTTTCTGAAGTAACCTTTAACTTTAAAGCTCAAGGTTGTGTTCAAAATAAAGCTATGTCTTAAATTAAGAATTTCTATAATGTTTCTTGGTTGTAAACCTATTTAAAACCGTTAATAAAATTCTTTACATAAAATAAGTTACAGGTTACTTGAGAAAACGGCCCTGGCGGAAATGCCTCCTAAATCTATGCTTTAATATTGATACTGAATTAAAGATAAACGTAAAGATAAAAAAGAACGATAGAGACAAAGATAAAGATAGAGATAAAGATACAACTGAAAAATGAGATATTTTATGTCCCAGTACGTTAAGTATGTTATGCTATGTTATGTTATGTTATCTTATGTTGCTTTATGTTATTCCAAGTTATGCAAATCGCTAGCGCTCAATTTTTGAAATATAAATTACTCCTCATACCTCTCAGATGTCACTAGCCTAAGTTTTCCTCTACGACGAGTACACAGCTGAATGGATAACGAAAATCAGAGAAACGCGAAAAGACGATATTCTTAAATATGGCATTTACATTTTTTATACCTAAATCAATGTTACGAATCAGTTTCTCAGAAAAATCGAATTTCTATATATTTATTGCCTCCCTACCCATTGTGAAATTATACCACGTGAAGTAATAAGAGCGAGAAGAAGGACTTTGTATATTGATTTCACATTTCTTGTTTGAAAATTTGCCTTTG